GCAGGCAAAAGGCTGTGTAAAGATGCCGCTGAGGCAAGCTAGCACATAACAGCAGGATGCAAGATGCTAGCAGGCAGGCTGGCATAACCAAGTGGCCGGCCGGCATAGTATACAGAGTATACATACAAGCTGGAGAAGTACCAAGGGCTCAGAGATGAGCTCGAGATGATGTGGAGGGTGAAGGTAACAGTGGTCCCCGTGGTAATCGGAGCACTCGGTGCAGTGACTCCCAAGCTAGCCGAGTGGCTCCACCAGATCCCGGGAACAACATCCGAGATCTCTGTCCAGGCCAAGTAGCTGCTCACATCTTAATCAAATGTAGTACTTTGTAGAGGCTTTTTTAAAATTATATATTTTTAAATTCATTTGTTTGTTTTTGCTTTTAATGTACTTGTTGTTGTTTTTTGTATTGTTTAAATTGTATAAATCATTAGCGATCAACACATCGAAGGAGTCCCATTTGTGGTTCCTGCATTATCTGTAACAGCAGTTTGTTGACAAGGCTGCCATGCTGAGAACCAAGCAGACAAAACTTTTAAAAAACATTTAATACCAGGTTAAAACTAGAGGATCAGGTGCACACGGTAAATAGCTTTTATATAGTGCTTTTCTACTCTACTTCTACTTGAACACTCACAGCACTTCATTCACAAAATCTGTTTTTCTACCCCAGTGCTGTCTATCTAACATTCACGCTTCCACTGATGGCAGTCACAAGATGATCTGCCTGACTCCTGGATCTGTGTATTATGAAATTTTAAAGAAAATCACGTGTTTTTCACACACTCAAATGTTGTGGATTAGGCTTGCATGACCTGCGACTGTGCCTCTATTTGGTAAGTTTAATCTTCTGTTTTGAAGGTGTTTTATTCTAAAGTGTGATTTTCAGTTCTCTCTGGAAGCTGTGGAAACAGTCACCTAGCAAGCCAACATGCCTGTGTTAAAGGCTCAATTGGGCTGAAATAAAAGAGAGGGACACAGAGGGAGGTAGAATAAAATAGTTGCCAATTTGTTTGCTGTGTGTTGGAACTGTACTAGACTTCATTCTGAAGCGCCTGACAAGCAGGTGAGATCAAAGTCATGGGGACAAAAGCAGCTCAGCAGCGATTTGTCAGGAGACGAGAGCCAGCGGCCGGGTTCAGCCCTCTGATCACCGGCTCACTAAAGAAATCTGCCCATGAGAAAAAGTACAGCAGAAAGGGTTCAAAGGTCATTTTGATTTGCTCTGGATTACTGGTACCTCGTAAAAAGGTGGGAAGGGAATTTTGGGAGGGAAGAGGGGCACGAAAGGAACTGGCTAATAACCTTTGTATTATTGTAAAAAAGAAACCCTTTTGTGCAAAGAGGGGTTTTTGAGGGCAGTGTTGGAGGGGAGAATTTGGGGACGTCAATTAAAAAGGAGCCCTGAAATCCTTGCTTTGATTCGTGAATGAAGGAGAGAAAAGGGGAAAGTTAAAATGTATGCTTTTGGCTTTTGTGTAAGAGCACTTCACATGACTGGGTTTGGATTCATTTGTTAAGTGGATGATGGCAAAAGAAAATGTAAATATTTCAGTTGGGCAAATATTCGGGAACTGGCCAAAGTTTTTTCATGAGGCAAATGCACATTTCATTTTGTTCTTTCTTCTGAAAGCAGGTGTGAATGCATTCAAGATATAAAAAGGACATGCCGGGAACTCCAGTCACCGTGGCTACGAATACAGCGTGCAGTTAACTTATTTGATCAATTAATTAACTTTGTTTTGTGCAGATAACAGGACATATTTCCCAAGGCTCTCCCACACAAATATAAGTGTGGATGCTAAATTCTTATGTAGCACTTTTCTACTCTCCCAGAGCACTCAAAGCGCTCTATGCAACATGCCATATTCACAAGCACTTTTCTTCTAAGCTTTCAACAAATGCATACACCAATATGATGCAACTTGGGGTTAGTATGTTGCCCAAGGATGCTTGACATGCAAACTGGAGGAACCAGGGATCGAACCACTAACCTTCCGATCAGTAGATGACCTGCTCTACCTTCTGAGCTACAGCCAGGATGCACTATGGCTTTTTTCGATATTTTAATTAATTTATTTATTTATTTATTGACTCTTACATTCATTGTTAACTATTTTCTGAAGCAAATATGTGAAATGTATCCAACAGCTGTGATTTTCCAGCCGGGCCGTTTCCCGTGTTTGAAGAAAGATCGGTACAGGTTAAGTACAAGTTGGCACCATATTTTGCTGCCCATGCTATGGAAATTGTGGAAAATGTGAGCCACTTGGAAGCCACAAGCTATAATGACTTTAGCAGCATATCGTCAAAAATTAAAGACTGTGAATAAAACTACTTGATTCAATACTTTGTTCATCTACTCTTGGTTGAATTTTCCAATTAAAATATCATACAGCGAGCTGCCTGACCAAGAACTGAGAGTTAGTGTCCACCTCAGGTTTGCTGGTAAGGCACTCACACCTAAACATCTTTAAATGTAACAGCTGACTTGTTTTTCTTTAAAAGTCATATCACAGTCTTACCGAGCTGAAGGAACATTTACGTAACACTCAGTAGAACATGCACACAGTCTGCCCTGCAGTTATATTTGTCTCCTGTTGTGTAACTTTCCTGCGAGATCTCACTTTGGTTTCAGAGCACAGACTTACCTGTGGTTCCTCGGGCTCCCAAAGGTAGAATGGGAGACAAAGCTCCTCCCCTGTGGAATCAGCTCCCAGTTTGGATTTAAGATCGAAAACATTTGTTTCCTAAAGTTTAAAGTTGGATCTGTAGTTTATGCTTCATCCTCGTTTTCCTTTCTCTCCCATACCTTTCTGCAGGTATGTACGGATTCATCAGCTGCTGCTGGCTCCATCAGCCTGCCAGGCATTTACTGCTCTATTGTTTGCTTCTTTTTTTCACTTCTTTCTTGTCATCCCAGCTGCTGGACTCTGGGCCTTTCTGTTTCTCTTCCCCACTGTCACTGTGGAGGATTTACTGGAGTTCTCTTGGGATGTAAAGCACCTCTGTATGGGTTTTGCTGTGACAGGCAGCACACCAACATCTCACAGCAAAAAGATTTGGCCCTGTAGTCAGCGGACTCCTGTCTTTGTAAGAATGGGCAAAACGTATGACCTCCTTTTATTTATTTTGCACTGATGTGTTTCACTTTGAGCTCAATATGAGGGCTTCATATGTATATTTGATTTACTGAAATAGGTTTTGAGTAACTTTGTGAATCAACTTGCTGATGGACATATACAAGTTTTGGCCTGCTATTTGACAAAATGATGGTATTCAAACTAGAGCACCGATGTCCCAGGTACTAACTCTGCTCGAATGCATGTGTACACAAAATCTAACTGAAGAATACAGCTCAGATTTAGCTGAATCATAACTGACACTTTAACCTAAAAACAACAACACACACTTCTTTAAATGTGAAGAAGAAATTGTGTATGTGGCTCACAAATTGCAAGCATTTGCCCTGCTTATTGCTGAGATGCTTTGTGGGCGGTGTGCAGGGGAGCATAATTAAAATAGTTTCTGAGAGAAACAGCACACCACATCTAAGGTTCCACCCTCTTCCAGCATTTAACCACATCAAGAGCGTCTCACTTAGAAACGGCCACCAGAACAACCTCTGATGCACACGGCCTGGCTGATGTTTTGGTGTGTTGTCTGACTCCTGAGGGGTCTTTGGAGGCATAAATTGCACACATTTGTAATTAAAAGAGTTAGCTTTTCTGATCATCAGAGTAAATAAAGTGACACGGGCAGCTAGCTGGGTGATGTATGGGAGGGGAAGACAAATTAACGTCTGCTCTCTGGGGGATTCTCAGCAGAGGCCTTCATAGCAGCAGTGGAGCAGTGCCAAAGGGCAGAGAGATTTGTAGATGATGGTGCTAATTACCAGAATGAAAACCATAATGTGACCAAGATGGAAGCAATTTAGGCAGTAGTCATTTAGCCTGCTGCTCTTCCGCCCACCGGCTGCTGCCTAGCCAGGGCTGGGGCATTAGGATGGGAAAAGTCTGGGCCAATCCACTGCCTGGGTAAACAATGAAAAACTAACGCACAGCAGAGAGCTTCTGTGGTGTAAAGAGCAAATGGAGAGAGGCCCGTGACACAATGTCCATTTGTCTTTCTTAATCTATGCTTCCAGGTCAAGAGGAGTGTATAAATGCTGAGCGCATAGTCGACTGGAAATGTTTAATTCCCCGTCATCCTACTCGGGAGTGTCTTTGTGGGATGTCTGAAGGTGCTGGTTCAAGCTGAACACGCTTGAGATTCACCTCAGCTTGCCATGATGCATGCTTGGCAAGCACCTGTTAAACCGGGAAGAACAAGGACACGCAGATGTGGACCACCCAAAAGCTGAAAAGGCTAACATTTCTTTTGCTTCAGAATGCGGCTGATAAAGTCGTTTCTGGGGGGACCCAACTGAATCTTACAGCGTGAGAAATTAGATGAAGCCTGTGGTTGTTCAGGATGTCAGAATTCAAAAGCTGAATGCTTTCCGCTTTTGTTTTTAAGGTGAGGACCGGGTTTAGCGGCAGTCTTATTCCTCACCTGTTGCGGTGGCTGGCCGAGCATATCTATATAATTTGGGATGTCTAATTGCTCTTTTAGGACGTTTATGCTCTTGCCACTGTGTAATTTTATCCACGCCGCTGTCTCTCACTTCACACAGGGCCGATACCTTTTTGTCTGCCCTTTTCCTTTGTATCAATTGGTTGGAGTTCAGCCTATTGTCGCCACAAGCTTCTTTTATATCTGCGCTCACTCTGAGCAGAGGCGCTCAGTCGGGTCCACGGGAGGGCTTTTCAGCTGCAGAGGCGAGGATTCCACCTCGGAGGCGGGTGTGCTGTCAGAGCTGCCTGTGGTGCTCGGATGCGCGCAGGGCTGAAGCTCTTCGGCTGTGTTAAGACCCCTTAAATCACTTTAATGGGACCCCGAGTGTTAGGCAGGAATTCTGCTGTTTTTTGCTACAGTTGTCGCTTCCCGGCCATGCCACAATGCTGGTGATAGCTCTGCTGCTGTTGCTGAGCCTGTGGGACCCGGTTAGTCCACGGCCCCGCTGCGCTTCGGGTCCGGCTTGCGACCCCCGGCATCGGAGAGACGCCGGGGGGCGCGGAGGAGTGTATGAACACCTCGGAGGAGCGCCGAGACACAGGAAACTTTACTGCGCTACCAAATATCATCTGCAGATCCATCCTAACGGCAAAATAGATGGCTCGCTGGATGAAAACAACCCACTCAGTGAGTACTGAAGTTTGAAAGGAAGAGAGGTGTAAGCGGAGAGCTGTGACACTTTGTGTGTGCGTGAGAGAAAGAAAGAACCCATGTCATTACAGCCAGCCATGTGTGTGTATAATGTATATATAATGTATATATATGCACCGATTGCGTGTAATATATACACGCAATCGGTGCAGTGATTCCAGGAACAGCGTCCGAGATCTCTGTTCAGAAGAGCGCAGTCCCGGGAACAGCTAAGAAACTGAGCCGGACCCTAAAACTGCACACACACGCGCGCGCGCACACACAAATATATATATATGTGTGTGCGTGTGCGTGTGCGTGAGGAGCGGTGAACTGAATGAGCAAGTTAAGCAAGAAAAAACTAGTTTGTTCATATGTTTGAGAGTAAAATGAAACTTTTTTCATTTTAATTCGTTTTTTTCTAAATAACGGAGAATATAAATGAATACATTTACACACATTTATACAGAAATATGGTGACATTTAAGAGAGAGAAATGTTCTATTAAACATGTCCAACACAGAAATACAAAAATGTTACTGTTGTGTGTATCACAGGCATCATGGAAATCACAGCAGTGGACGTTGGTGTTGTGGCCATAAAGGGGCTCTTCTCTGGGAGATATCTGGCCATGAATGATAAAGGACGGCTGTATGCATCGGTGTGTTCAGCACACACACACGCACTCACGCACGCACGCATCTGACATGTTGGGAATGGGTCACAGCTAGTGGAGAACACATAACACAACAAAACATGCCTTAATTATGCCATTAATTCAGCTCAATTCATTTTTATTTCTATAGCACTAAATCACTGCAACAATCAGGCAGACAGCACAGGGCCTGACACATGAGCAGCCTCTGTCCTTTGCCCTGCTTTAGTGTCACATTGTCATGTTTAGCTACTGAAAAGTAAGTGACCGTAAACTTAGTCTGCGCCACCAAAGAGGAGTGAATTTCACCGCTCCTGTTTCCAGAAAGACTAACGTGCTTCGTTCTCACATCCATTCTCCTCTCTAGGAAGTGTTCAACAAAGAGTGTGAGTTTGTGGAGCGAATCCACGAGCTGGGGTACAACACCTACGCCTCCCGCCACCACTCCACGGAGCACCCTGCTGCACCGGGAGGCGGCGGCAGCAGCAAGCGCCGGGCCAGCGCCAAGAGACAGTGGTACGTTTCCATCAACGGCAAAGGGCGGCCACGGCGAGGCTTTAAAACCCGAAGCACGGACAAAGCCTCGCTCTTTCTGCCTAGGGTGCTTGGTAACAAAGACCATGAAATGGTGAAGCGGCTGAGGGAGAGTCCGGGGCCGCATCACCATGCCCATCACCACAGCCGCCGCGCTGAGCGCCGGAGACGCCGGCATCGCGCTGGGAAAGGCTGGGCCTGACAGCCACACGTGTCGGCAGACAGTTGGAGGACAGTCTGTGATTTGCCCAAACACGGACCTTAATCCTGCCACATACTGTAGCTTGACAGCAATGGAGGATGTGGATGAATGATTCGGGTTCTTCCTCTGGATCAGTGGAAGTTTTTGTTCACAGAAGACTTGAAGTGCTGTGGCTCAGACTAAATGCTCCAGCTTGAGGAGACTCGCACACCGCCAGCCTTAGAATTAGCTGTTTACTGACTCCATGCGTCTTCAAACTTGTAAGCAAAGGTGTTCGTAAGTTCACCATCAACTTCACACAGAAGAAAAACCTTTGAAACGTGGTTGTGTTTTTGTAAATACTATTGGCATGTACAGCAGCTTTAGAGCTTTCATTTATCAAAAGCTGAGATAACAAAGACAAAGTCGTATTTTGCTGAAGCGCTACCAAACAAAAAGGACACTGAAGAGCAGACATCACAGAGAGGGGCACTTTTCACAGTATGACGCAAAGATCAAATCAGACTAACTGTGCTCACTAGCTGTATGACGTTCTTACAATGTGATGGTCTACTGTTTAGAAAGTGAAATATTTTACTAAATCTATGGATATTTATTTGGTTCCTGTGTTGTAAGTTATTGATATAACTATTTCTGCATTATAGCCATTGTGCTGTTGTTTCTTAGTGTCCACTGATTCCAACATAAAACACAAGGTACCGATCCAGCAGTTCTATCATCTGTTCATCAGAAATGTGTTTGTGCCTGAATCTGATGCAGCTGATGCAGCTGATGCAGCTGTGGACACCATGCAAATGTTTTGGGATTTATTTTAGTTTTTTATTGCTTCAAAAATTTTATTTATATAAGATGTCCTATTTTTATATGTGGAAAACCTAAAAAGCAAAATGTTTGGTTTTATTGGCCACAGATCTTTGAAGGCAGCAATGTCTGAAATGCACAGTAGGAACTTCTGACAGGTGGTGTAAAACAGCAGGATATTAGCCCAGACCCAAGCTAATGTTGTTTTGGAGGATTCTCTTTGAAATTAAAGCTCAGATTTGTATTTCATTTTTAGCTGTACACACGGCAGTCTGTCCGTCCCTCTCTCCCCGCTGCAGTATCCGCACGCTACCATAACAGGAACAAGTACAGCAAACTTTTATTTCAAGGATTTTTTCAGATTTTCAGGTTTTATCACACTTGACTCACATCTGTCGGTAGCTACCTATAAAGCCTTGTCATTCTATACCTGTAGGCACGGAAGGTTTCCTGGCCAGGACAATACCTCCTCCCAGGGGGGCTTGGAAGCAATGCCGCCTGAGACATTTGGCCTTTTTTAAGACCAAAAGCTGCATAGCTGATAAGCAAGGCTGGCCCTTCTCAGAGCAGAAACTGTGTCATAGAAAGTGCAACACCTTGCTGTGGTTTGTCATAAACTCTAACATTACTCATCAGGAATGTTGGGCTTCAGTGAGGTCAGGGCCTATTGTGGCCCCTGCCCCTCCCTGAATACTTTTAACAAACGTTATCTCCTCAGCCTCCTCTGATGTGTCCTTTCCATCCATGTAAATCTGTGTTCTCCTACTAAACTTTATCAGACAGCCTACAGCAGTTGTGTTTATTTGCAACGTCTACGGGCATGATGGGGGGAATGGATAAGTATTTACACAATAGCTAGATGATTTTAAGCCCATCTTTTTAGATGGGCATGTTCACTAAATCTGGAAATTATGGGACACAGTTCCTCCTTCTAGGTGTAAATAATGTGTTTCGTTCAGAAATGATATATGATTAGTTATTACAGTAAAAACAACAAAAATAAACACTGTTTAAGATGATTACTCTGCCCACTGCCAATGCACACACTTTTTATGAGAATGATGGAAAATTGTTATCCCATCATCATAATGATCCGCTCACTAAGATGTGATTCTGATTTTGCCTTTAAGTCAGATAATGGCTTTGAGCAATCAGTCCCTTTTTATTAATAACAACACATTTTATAATAATAATAATAATGATGGAGTGGATTTATATAGCGCTTTTCAAGGCACCCAAAGCGCTTTACAATACCACTATTCATTCACTCTCACATTCACACACTGGTGGAGGCAGCTACAGTTGTAGCCACAGCTGCTCTGGGGCAGACTGACAGAAGCCAGGCTGCCATATCGCGCCATCGGCCCCTCTGGCCATCACCAGTAGGCATTTTAGTTTATTTTTGTATTTATTTTGGAGCATTTCAAAACACCCAGGGACACAAAAGAAACCCCGAGTCAAGTAAAAACTAGAAGACAATGGCTACTTCACACAAGTGCTGAATCTTGTCTTAAAGAGTATTCTGGTGGCCAGAAAGGCGTGTATTGGTAAAACCGCACTATATGTTAAGCATGGCCCTCTGCCCATTAAAGGAACATTTGCTAAAAGCCGAGCTTCAGACATGTGAGCTTGCATCCAATGCTCTTACTTTGGAAAGGCAGTTGGATGCCCTCTATAGGCAGCTCACTGTCCAGTCAGTTTGGAATTTTTACAAAGCACATGCTGGTCAAAGGATTATTATCTTAAAAACTACAAGATTTACAAAATAATATTTTTCCTTCATTTACCTCATTTATCATTCATGAAAGGAATGTAAAGTTCACAACGCACCACTTAATAGATCCAGGCCAACATCCAGCTGTACTGCTCCAACAACATCAGAAGAAATACCTCCTTCCCAGTCTGGATACACACAACAAGACGCTGGATACACAACCATTTTTCACCTTTTCACATGCCGTACATATGACATGATTCCAGGTTCATATCTGGATGGTTTTTATACACTAGTTTTTTGATTCTTTACATCTGTTTTAAACTTGGCGATACAAGATGATAACTATGAACGCAGACTGAGGATGAAGGAAACAAGATAGGTCACATGGATTCAGGTTTTCAGGGTAAAACAACATTTAGAAGATGAACTCGCTTTGTACAGTTTTAGAAATGATTTGTTACCAAGTTATCGAGGGTGCTCTCAGATCACTAGAAACATACTTTCATACTTTTTTTCTGGATCATAAAGATGCTATGCACGGGCTGCTACGTGGTAAATAAACAAGAGAGCAAATGAATCATGTTGGATGCTGAGACATTTTAAGCTCTGAACTGCAGCTGTCACCCAGTGAAATCTAAAACGTGTTTCACGTAGTATAATTCACTGCATACATGTAACCAAAAACCACAATAATGTCAGTACAGCATAAACAGAAAATAAAGTCAAGCATAACTTACAAACTGCAACATGGCTGAAAAGAAACATGTCAGCCTGCTTTTATTTTAGTCTGATAAAAGGACATTACAGAACCATGGACAGCGACAGCAAGAGACCTGCTGTGTGAACGCTTCACATGAATGTCTTCATTCAAAAGCCGATGCTGAGGTCCATCACATCTCAGCCCACGTAGGTGCTATCGGTGCACCAGCTACCTGAAAGGCTCAGTGCCTTGGTGTAATTTGTTTGTTGAATAATTATAACGATAGCCAAATGTCTCATCTTATTGCCTTACATGCATTTCTCTACAGTCCAGCAGCTTTAAAGAAGGTTTGTAATATTTTCATTTTCCATATTTTCAAAAAAAGAAAAAATGAATAAAAAAGGTCCAAAATCCATACTGATATTGTGGAATTCCATCTGTTGTCCTATAAGCCTGTCAGCCTATGAACCTCCAATGTCCTAAAGGACAGACACTCTTATGAGTTTGTTGGAGGTCGGTACAGGATCAGGAAGCTTTCCTATAGGTTCTGCAGCTCATCAGTCAATGTTTTTAGCAGCCTACTTGTGCATCACCAGCTAATCAGCTGAATGACTTTAGGACAAGTCCACCAGTTGCTCTGAAGGTAGCTTTGGTGGTCCAGCAGTCTAAACCTTGACCTGCTTTCCTGAAGCACTGAAATAAGCCCATGACTGCTGATACTTGAGGATTCATCCCAGCATTCCATCAGTTGTGTATGCTGGCCTTCATGCTTTTCAACTAACCAAAGGTTTTATGGACTACTTGCTATTCTTGCATAATTTTGGGTCAGTGGAAAGTGAATTTTTCTGCCAGGCAGGGCGAAAAGGGGAAGACCACACAGAAGGTTTATGAATGTAGTGAAGGAAGACATGCAGAGGGTTGGTGTGACAGAGGAGGGTCCACAGGAATGAGGTGAGATGGAGGCAGATGATCCACTGCGGTGATCCCGGAAGGGAGCGGTAAAAAAATGAAAAGAGGAAGAAAAATTGCATTGGAGATCGATACCCAACCGAGTGCCTAAGATCTGCCTGCATTCATGGAGCGATTTTGCTGCACACAAAGAAACAAGGCTGGTCCAGAGATCAAAGGGCTCTGGGCTGAAAGATGTGGAAGATCTTCAAGTACTCCAACAGAGTACCATAATGAGATCCGTAATGGGACACAGCAGAGCGTGGAAATGTTAACACTCTGCATAAATGTAACAAGAATCATCACACTTATGAAATACTGAAACAAAAGAGGAGCAACGCACTGAAAGAGTGTCAAGGATGTCAGATCAGAGAAATTGTGCCATGATGTCAGCTGGTGAGTTCTAAAAAGAAGTGAAACAAAAGCAAAAATCGACTCTTTAAGGTTGGCGGTTTGAACTCAACGAACAGAGCTGAATAAAATCCTTACACACAGCCTCAAGGCTTTTTAGGAAAACTGTAAACTTCTTGGAAGTATTTCCTGACCTTTCCTTATCCAATTCAGGGACAACACTCCACACAGTCCATCACAAGGCTGCTCATGCTCACGTGAACAGTCCATCCAGTCCAACTTCACTGACGTTTTCATAATATCCATTTAATTCTGAACACAGACGCTGTGGTGCATGGATTAATAACGAACCACACAGGCGCTTCCAGTCAAATAAAGACTTGGTCAACAATGACAGCATACTTATCATACTACAGACTGTATTTATTCGTACCATTGTTTTCTATAAGGGTCCGGGACATGATTTCCTAGTAGCAGTCTTAAGTTGGCGCTCTTTTTTCCACTCGGTTGAACTGGACCTGTGTTGTTTTCCTGTTATTGTTCATTTATAGAACTGTCTCCTGTGTGTTAACTTGGCGGTTTCCTATTTTACATCCTCCCATACATAAATTATGATATTCTGCTGCTGATAATGAAAGGCTCGCACAAAGAGGTTTTTTGGTCATTATTGAGCTTTTATTGCTTTATTTTCCAAAGATTGTGCGCGGAGATAACGAGGCCATTATTGGAAGTGAATAAAGCCCTGCTTTCGGTGCGGCTGACTGTGAAGAAGTACTTTGTGGATTTTTACTAAGTGTGGAGCAGTGATGTAATGTGTATGCAGGTATAAATATAGAGGTCTGGCTTTGCCGAGTCCATGCAGATCAATGTCGCTCCCGGGCGCTGCTGCCTGCTTCGCTCTGCTTCTCGCTCTTCTCTCTTCACTGGAGAGTCGAACACTGGGAAGCTGCTCTCACAGACGGAGCCGGGATGGGCTCTCTGACCGCCCTGCGGACCGTCCTGGTGCTTGGCCTGGTTGGCAGACTGGCAGGATGCGCTACCGGCCTGAACGGCACGGCGGACCGCTGGGAAGCCCTTTACTCCCGGTCCCTCGCTCGAATCCAGGGGGAGAAGCGGGAGGAGAGCGGCCGGGACAGCGACTACCTCCTGGGCATTAAGAGGTTGAGGCGGCTCTATTGCAACGTGGGGATCGGTTTTCACATCCAGGTGTTACCAGATGGCAGAATAACGGGAGTACACAACGAACATCGTTACAGTAAGTTTGCGATTGATACTTTATTTCCTCACTGCTCTGACTCTGTGTTTGAACACGAAAAGCAAAGACAACTCCAGAGAAACGACTGAAGAAGTTCTTAGAACAGGAAGCAGTCACCTCAGCTGACTTATGATTGATCGCATTTTCTCTAACTGCGAATAAAACGGGGCCACACACCTGATCCGTCAGACCCGCGCACGTGTATAGTCTGACCCACGCCACAGTACCAACATCTGGAGCGTAGGATTGTGCTGCTGTGACCTAAAGGCTGGAACTAAAGTTAGGTCCAGCCTGCGGGCCGTTGCTCGTGCAACTTAAAATCATTTGCAGACACGAAGAATGACTAACTTCTGTTTACTCGCGGGGACAAGACAGTGAAAGCTTGTTTTTATGTGTGTGACTATTCTAAGACGAGGCGTAAAACCTCAGGGATATACATTACATATACACTGCATATATTTACAGAAAACCCAAGCGAGGACTGGAAACCTCTGACACACTCTTTAAAATGATACATGGAACTAAAAGACGCAGTCGGTCAGCAGCCTGTCAAGGCCTGCTGAGGAAACGCATCAGCTGGCGTCCGATTAGCCTTCGCGTGTTTCTGATACCTTTTCAGATATGAGCTGTTCAGCGCTGGGTGTTCCAGGGTAGTGAGCCAAGCTCCAAACACTTCTTGCCTCACTGTCATTTCTCAAGGTGAAAATATTCAGTTATGTTCAAAAATGTCAGAGCTGGATTTCATTCAGCCTGACATGACATCACATATATTTAAAGGGAGTGTATTTGTTAGTGTTTTAACTTATATTAAGATCAGGGGCGCCACAATGTGCCAGGTGTTTTCTCTGGAATTCAAACATGTGTTTACCGAAATTTCAAATGTCAGTCTGACCATCCAGCTCACTTCCTTACACAAGCAGTAATGTCGGTGTGAGCGCGCGCGCGGGGTAGCACGCGGGGTATCACACCGGCGTGCTGTAGTAAGTGTGCTGCTTTTTGTCTTCAGGTCTCCTGCAGATCTCTCCGGTGGAGAGAGGAGTGGTGACCTTGCTGGGCATTCGCAGCGGACTTTTTGTGGCCATGAACCGACGGGGAAAGCTGTACGGATCTGTGAGTGCACAACGAAAACTCTGATTATATCACTCACACACACACACACACACACACACACACACACACACACACACACACACACACACACACACACACACACACACACACACACACACACACACACTTAGTATCATGCAGCTCTGATGTCCGGCTTTATGAAGCGATTCTGAAGTCATGAATCCAAGCTGCTGTATACACGTACCCAGTTCATTCTGGCCAGGATTAAAAAGTCTAATAATTGTTTAATTGAAAAATTGTATTGAAATCAGTGTCAGATAAGCAATAAAATATAATTTATTCAAATAATCAATTAATAACAATGTAATTGGTTAAAATATTGGAATCGGCACACATGCAGTTAACAGCCTTTCTTCAAGTCGCCTGCACTGGAGGGATGGAGGCATTGTTATTTTCAAAAAGATCTATCCATCCATCCATCTATCTATTAAGTAGATGCAGGACAAGTAGACCCAGATTATGCCAATGCAATGCATGACAGAGCCACGGGGTACCTTAACTGTAGGATTCATAGGCTAAGGTGGGTTTTTTTTTATCTTTTAATTTGTCATATTTATCCTACAACATCACTTGCTTAGTTTGGTGAGACAGAAGTAGTATGAAATATGTTGATAAAGAAAAGATTAAAATAAAACCTGGCTTACTGTTTACTGGTACAGTCACTGTTTACAGACTGTTCACATACAACAGGGAATAAGTATAAAAGGGGTGATGCTCAAGGTTTACAGTAACCAAATAAATACACCTTGGGTGCAGAGATGGTTTTTATAGCTTTAAATAAAAATAAATTATAATTATTTGTTAACATTTATAATTAGCAACGTGCAGCATAGCTGCTCTTAAAAACCCATTTTAATGCCAAATATTAAAAAACTGTATTCTAGATACATTTTCATGAAAACATTTATCGTATTAGTGTAAAAGTCCAATGAACTGTTTGATTCTGACTTTTATCCAACACACACAGCTCACCCAGCTCCGGCTTCTATTGCTGATGGTGCTTTCTCAATAAAAGCCATGACCAGTTCCAGTTAATGTTTTCAATATTGTTCCAAAAGGAGGTACCAGACTGTCAGCTGATAGTATTTCTGATGATTTTGTTGGATGCTTTGCAGCTGATGAAGGTGCATTCACGGTCAGCATAAACGGTGTTTGGATGGTGTGTTTACCTGTGGGACTAGCTAAATGTTTAAATGCACCAATTCATCAAAAAAAAAAAAGTCATTGTTTTGTCTTGATACTGTAGGAACTTGAAAGAGACATAAATTTTGAGTATAAAGGTAACAAACCATCTGGACTAAGGATGGTTCCTTTACCAAGCCAGCTGTTGTTAAAAAACGTCTTATTTTGTTTTTTATTATCATTGTTGTTCCAGGTAAAATATTTAGATAGTAAAATGATGGGTTTGTACAATGACCAGCCCAATAACGTTTGTGAGGGGAATGTAAGATATAGTGAAATAAAAGCTAGTCCTCCACCTGAGTTAAATAGATGAAGTGTTATAGCATTTCAAAGTGGTTTTTTAACATATAAGTTTAAATAAGAATTGAAAAACTCAATGGCATGATTAAAACTAACTCTCCACTGCAGAGGTTATGTAGCGCCTTATCATTCTCAATCCAGTGAGCAAAAATGAACCAATCAGACCCTGGCGTCCCGAGTCCTGTAGCACTCACATCATTCATCATTTCACAATGTTTTTTTTTTTGTCTAAAATCTGCCTGAGATAGCTCCTGCACAATAACAGCCTTGCAGTCAGAAAGAAATCAATTGTTTGATAATGATCAGAATGAACAATGCAAACTGAAACACCCTCAGAAATGTCCCCACATCTTTGTTTTGTGTCTGCCTTCAAACAATCAGCATTTCCAATAATCTCTCTTCTTTTTCAGTTACATTACAACAACGAGTGTAAGTTCAGAGAGACGCTCCTTGCCAACAACTACAATGCTTACGAGTCAGTTGCCTACCCAAGGATGTTCATCGGCCTGAGTAAGAACGGCAAAACAAAACGAGGAAACAGAGTGTCACCCGCCATGACAGTGACACATTTCTTGCCAAGAATCTACTGGCCTCATAAATAGACTTCACCTCAATTTTGAGATTCGGGAAGAACTCCAACATGAGATGCACTTTCACTCCAAGTTTTATGCAAGTGTATCATATTTGATTTTCTGCTATGTATATATTCATTTTTTATATATCTGTGCCTGAAAGCTATTTTCTATTTAGGAAGTCTTTTTCACTGTTGGTAGGAGATGTAAAATGTGTTATTTATGCTGCTCTTGTCATTGGAAGATTTGCTTTTAATTATTAATTTATTTATTTATTTTTCTGACACAGGAAAAGGGAACAGCAAAATACAACATTTAGAGCTTTAATATGTTCTTTTTTCTGTCTAAGCTTGAAAAAAAAAAACGAGTTTCTTTGGTGTGAGAAACAGCACTGATTGCTTAATGCTCCAACTCTTTGTGTGAGGCACTGGACCCTAATTGAAACAGTATCATATTACTAAAGGAAGAGAGAGGATGGAAAGAGGGGAGAGTCTAAGACCCTATCAACCACTTCTGGTCTGTTTATAGCTCTGCCAGCGGGATGAACTCTGAACTTTTGTGCTGTCAGTCTCAGTGAGATCTATAAGTCGCAAAGAGAGAGAGGGATCGTCTTTGATGTCATGTTAGTAGATAATATGGAGGTTTAAAGGCAAAGTGAAAAAGCTGAAATTGAAGTGGGATTCATGATACTGCATTTGTGTCTGTTTGGGCATCTGGTTACGCAGAGTGAAGGATTTTGGGTATGCAACAAAAGCATGCATGCACATAGACCAAAGGGGATGACACTGTGCATAGGTTGAAAGCTAACTGGTTGAGTAGTGTGCCTGAACAGCAAAGGAAGCAGCAGTGAAGTTCACCACATAGTTGCCTGAAAAGCAAGGGCAGTGCCTGAATAAACTCTTTTCAACACCAAGGTCCTTTACTGCATTTTTATGCAGACTTGCCGATCTTCTTTTAAGCACATGCGTTTGCTCTTGCCCTGGTGCGTAACAGCACCAATGCAAAAGAACACTTTAAGGTCTCTTCACCACTCTGGGAACTCTGAGAAGAGGTCACAGTAGGACTATTGTTTATCTGATGTAGTTGTCTGATAGATATGTAAAAGGGAAGTAAGGAGTGGCTCTGATAGGTTTAGGACAGTGAAGGACAGTGTCAGTCTCTTGTCTCCACTAATACTGTATGTCAAGACTATCCTACTTTTATAAATGAAAAATAACTCAGGTAAAAAAAAAAAAAAAAAAGTACTTTCCAGTAATTGTCACTTACAGTTACTGTGTAAAAGTATTTCTTTAAAATCATTTTTCTTCCACATTTATTTTATGTATGATGATGTAAAACTTTACAGTCTTTTTTAAAGTTTGATAGTAATATTGATGCCAATCTACTGTTAGTAAATACACCACTTAAAAAATGAAAGGAACACTTCAGCTGTCAATAGGGAAAAAAAAGCATGCTGATACGGACTGGGTAATGTGTTAGGAATGAAAGGATGCCCGATTGTTTGATAAAAATGAAAATTATGAACATACAGAGGTCTGCATTCCCTAAAAATCAAAGTGAAAAACAAAAGATCCAGCACGCTAGTCCGTTTTGACGAAATGTTATTGCAGCAACCTAAAACGGTACTCAGTAGTTTGCATGGCTCCCATGTGCGTGTATGCATGCCTGACAATGTGCTACTAATAACAGATTAAAGATCTCCACCGAGATCTGGATCAGGACATCACTGAGCTCATGGGCAGCCTGAGGTGCAACCTGGTGACATTGGATGGACTGAAACAAAACGTCCTAGAGGAGTTCTATTGGATTTAGGTCAGGCGAGCGTGGGAACCAGTCGGTGGCATCAATTCCTTCATCCTCCATGAACTGCCTGCATACTCTCACCACATACAGCCGTGCTGTCATACACCAGGAGGAACCCAGACCCACTGCACCAGTGTAGGGTCTGACAATGTGTCCAAAGATTTCCTTCTGATACCTAATGGCAGTCAGGCCTGTTCTTTGCTCCATGGATATGCCTCCCCAAACCATCCATGGTCCTACCAGTAGATTTCTCATTGTGTGTCAAAGACATTCACACCAGTGGCCTGCTGAAAGGTCAATTTGTAGCCTTGGCAGTGCTCATCCTGTTCCTCCTTGCACAAAGGAGCAGATACCAGTACTGCTAATGGGATAAACCTTCCAGTCATTCTTGTTTTGGGGGTTGTCTCATTGTTGCCCCTCTAGTGCACCTGTCGTTAATTTTATTAACACCAAAGCAGCTGAATCTGATTAACACCTCCCTCTGCTACTTGACTGGCCAGATCAACGTCCCAGATGTTTAATTAACTTGATGTTATACTTGGATTAAAAAGTGCTCCTTTCATTTTTTTAAGCAGAACTAAACTAGCTGCACTAAGTGAGCTAGTTCAGCTTAGTCAGTGACAGTCAGTCGCGGGCCTACTAGCTAGCTAGCTAGCTTAGTGCAACAACTGAACTAGCTGCACTAAGCTAGCTAGTTCAGCTTACTGCAGCTAGCTAGCTAGCTTAGTGGAGCAATTGAACTAGCTAGTTCAGCTTAGCTTAAAGTCAGCAAATTTCATCAACCAGCACGCCTGATGCTCCCTGACCAACATATGTGCTGTTGGTTTAATTTATGTTATCCTGGGATAATGGCATCAGGTGAACCACAAATAGGCCAACAATGTTGTACACCTTAGCTTATTAAAGTAATCTAAACAAAGATACAAGAGTACAAGTGAGATTAAGAGGTAGTGAGGTTGGTTTTCTGGTGCATTTCACCAGCTGTTATTTCCACATGCAGTGCTAATAAAAGAAAAAAAATTCTCTCCATCCATCCATTTTGGAGAAAATGCTCTGAAAAACTCCGTCGCTATTCTGGAACAATCTCTACTTCCTTTAAGTGAATTTGTCTTTTATTTTCCTCTGTATCAACGACCACTTTCAGGTGTTGATTTAATTTCCTGTAGCATTAGCTGTCCCGCCTGGCTCAGTTTTGTGTCTATTTTTGCCAAACCCTGTCCTTCTTGCATTTGTCTCTGTCTCTCTATGTCCCTGTAGTTGACTGCAGCTCAGCACTGTTGGTCATGTTGTCCTAGTTGCTCCTTGTCACGTTCCAGCTATCTTTACCCTGTGATTTACTTTTAGAAAGGATAATCATGGAAGAAATATTTACAGACAGCTGTTGGACTGTACTATATGCTAGGGCCAGTAACCCTATATTTTTCTTTATATATTTTGTAAATATAACCTCTGAGTAACTGAAGGTGCTGGTATTCCTTTCAGGGGGGAGGGTCAGATTTAGAGCAACTGAGTGGTGTGGTGGATACTGCCTGAAGCCAAAAGGTGCTTTTAATTTGTTCACTTTTATGCAGTCATTGAACAAGGTCACCAAACATCATTAACCAAGTTTAACAAACACAGAGGAGAAAGGCGAAAGGCGACCTCTTCTTACTTGCTTTAGTTTTTCTTCTCTTGCCTGTTTTCTCATTCAGCCTCTTTGTTGAGAGCTTTGAAATCTCAGTTTCAACATTCCACATACGATGGCGCATACTGTAGCCAACTGATTGCTGTTTCAGATTGAACCATTTTCATCACTGGGTTACGGAGCCTTCAGTAGAAGTTACGCTTGATTAGCACATGGTAGAGTCACACTGAATGCACACGCTAACTACTGCAAATAGTTCAGGCAAATATTATGCAAACTGTGTCTGTTGTGGCTTTATGTCCTGATCTCTGGAAACAGGCATTAATCCCAAGACTGACCGAAGCACTGCAGCATCGCTGTGATTTACACTTCAAAAGAAGTGTATAGAAACTACCAAGCCACTCTCTGCTTGTCCTCAAACATATGTTACAGTGTGATGTTTGGACATCCATTTGGATGTCAAAGTTGGACAGCAGTGATTTAAACAAGTATACTGCTGTGCCTGTTGCTCTCAGCTAGGTTAAGTATTCTCCAGTATCACTGATTTGCATGGCAGGCATTATATGTACAGTAAAATACCTTTCTGCCTTGTGTCTCTAACCTAGGGCCATCCCTCTGTCCCACCTGCTCATTTGATTATCCAAGCAACAGCAGTGCAGCCTGCAGCTAGTACAAAGTGAGCAAATACTTTTTCACAGCACTGTAAACTCTGGTTAAAGTATGCAAATTGCTCACAGCAGGTTGAATATAAATGCGGACATGTGGCCTGTCTCAGACTGAGGCATTACAGAAAGATGCATTGATTTTATTTATGGTCGAAAGCAACCGAACCCCCACATTTCTTTGCACGTTACTGTTAAAGTAGCTTTTATTTTTATTCTTATTTTATCAATGTGGCTCAATCCATTCAGATGTAACTAATTATGCTTTTGGGACTAGATTCCTTTGTTCAAACTGGTTTATCATGAAGTACAAAACTGGTGATCTGTGATTGTGTGCTGCTTCTGGGCCACTGTTCAGAAAAAAATGATGACATGATCCTGTACTACGTTTGATTCTGAGTCAACCTACTTTTATCCGATGTCCTGTGGTTTTATACAGGACTTAATAAAGTATACTACAGTATGTGCTGTACACATGGTTAAAGTCCACCGTAAGGGGAAACCCGATCCCCTAAATGTAAAGTTTATGATTGTCTGTACTGTATAATAAGCTTTGATCAATCTGACATTCACATATAAAAATGCAGTATGTATATATGACATGGCATTACACGCGTGTATCCATGTTGTGGGGCAAGTACATAAAACATAACATTTTGTCTCCTCTCTGCAGTAGTTTGTGGCTCATCTTGTTTAATTTTCATGGCCTCTGTGCTCATTTGTTTTGGTTTCTCTTTCCCCTCACACACCCTAACTGCTCACAGCAGATAACCACCACTAGCCCAGTTCTCCTGAAATGGTCTTCCTGTTAAAAAGGAGTTCATTTTCTCCCGCACTGCCATGTTCTAGGTCAGGGATGATCAACAGATCGTTGTAGCTCCATCAATAATAACACAGTACCTTTATCACACAATGTAAAGGAAGTGGAGATATGATTGGGTGGTAACGCTGAATTAAACTGCAGACC